GAAATTAGAGGATTTTTTTGGTTAAATTATTGTTTTGTTCTCTGGTGTTTATGGTGAAACATTTCAAAACATTTTGTTTTAGCTCATCCTGTCCAGCTGTAGAATACCGTTAACTTATTAATAACAGTAATAAATGAGATCATATAATCGTGAATTGAAACTTTTTTTTTTTTTTCTTAGGCTTGTTTTTATTTCCAAAGTGTTTTTGCTGGAAACGTTAGAAAACTTCCTTGAACGTGGTGAAAACGTTTTAATTTTACTGTGGAAAACTGAAGGAGCCCTGGAAGTTCTTCTTCTTCTGTTCCTTCTACTTCTCTTGTTTCTTCTTCTCTTGTTTCATATCTGGCCTGTCCTCAGGTATCCGCGGCGTGTCGGAGGAGACCACCACAGGCGTTCATAACCTCTACAAGATGTTGAAAAAAGGCGACCTGAAGATGCCAGCCATTAACGTCAACGACTCCGTCACCAAGGTAACCGGCTGTCTGACCGCCGCCTCCATCGGCAGCCTTCCTCCTCCTCCTCATCGTCAGCACATCTCTGCAGAGTAAGTTCGACAACCTGTACGGCTGCAGGGAGAGTCTGATCGATGGCATCAAGCGAGCCACCGACGTCATGATTGCCGGGAAGGTCGCCGTGGTAGCGGGCTACGGCGACGTCGGCAAAGGCTGCGTCCAGGCGCTGCGGGCCTTCGGCGCCCGCGTCATCGTCACGGAGATCGACCCCATCAACGCCCTGCAGGCCGCCATGGAGGGTGAGCGAGACCGAGGCGCCGAGCATTGGGCCGCAGGAAGTCGACTAACACTGACTTCCTGTTTCAGGGTACGAGGTGACAACTATGGATGAAGCCTGCAAGGAGGGAAACATCTTCGTAACCACGACCGGCTGTGAGGACATCATCCTGGCGCGGTGAGCTCCTGGATATTAAAACTGCAGTTCACTGAATCTCTGAATCTCTGAAACTGAATCTCTGAAACTGAATCACTGAAACTGAATCACTGAAACTGAATCTCTGAANTTTGTGGCTTTGTTTTTGATACAGTGTAAGGACAATTTTTCCAAATGTGTTGTCAGGACCATTTTCTCCTGCTGGTGCTGTTAAAAAAAGAATAAGTTATGAATTGAGTTTATGTTTAGGGATAAGCTATAGAAAATAATGAAAGATCAGAATGTTCTTATTGTCATTATACAGAAGCACAACATTTTAACTTCAGGACAGCCATCCAAAGAAAGACAAACAGCATAAGACATGGGAAGACGGGTTCCTGAGGCTGCAGCCGTCATGGGAGGCGGTGAAAAAAGTCACATCTCACACTTTGGTCCAAAAAAATGAACAAAAAGCAACATTTAGACAAAGGAGGGGCAGCAAAGGCGGTTTACAGCCGACAGGACGGACACACAGAACCGGCCCTTCCAGGACATTTAATCAACCAATCAATCAAGTTTATCTGCACAGCACATTTCAGCAACAAGGCAATTCAAGGTTCTTTACATCATAAAAACAAAAATGCAAAGTCATAGAAACACAGTCGGCGTTAGCCGATGTTTCACATCTGAGTGTTGATCAATAATTATGTTTCTAAGCAGCTGGGTTTTTGGTCCAGATTTAAAGGAGCTCTGTTTTATGACCTTAATGTGGAACAAAATGAAAATGAGTTTGACCCCTTCAACAAACATAAAAACGGCTAAATCGTCTTAACTCTCTTATGTCAGCTCAGACACTCAAAGGAAATTTGATTTACTTTCAGTAGTTTGAAACAATGTCAGGTTTTACAGATTAATTCTGGTCTGGCAGGCATGATGCTGCCATGACTAAATCAGGGTGGAGTGAGCGTAAATAACTTTACTGATGTCATCAATAATGGCTGGCGTCCCGCGCTGTGAAACCTGGGAGATGCAGTTTGTCCCTGTAGTACAGGGGTGTCCAGGCTGGGTCCTGGGGGCCCGGCATCCTGCATGTTTTATTCTCTCCCTGGTTTTACACACCTGCATCAAATGACGGCTCATCAGAGGCCTCAGCAGAACCCTGACCTGATGAGGAGGTTGTTACTACCACCAGGGAGAGAATAAAACATGCAGGATGCCGGGCCCCCAGGACCCACTCTGGACCCCACTGCTGTAGTAGAATGGAAGTCCGGCCAGCTATAACATCCCTCTGTGTGTGTGTGTGTGTGTGTGTGTGTGTGTGTGTGTGTGTGTGTGTGTGTGTGTGTGCGCGCGCGCGCGCAGATCATAAATGGCCTGCGCCGCTTTGAGGTTCAGTACCAGGGCGATCCG